GCGAGCGTCAGCACCGCCCCGGGGGAGGGCCAGGAGCGCCGCTGCCCAGGTGCGCATGCGCTCTCTCCACAGGAGGAGGTGGAGGCACCTCCTAAGTCTTGATTGGTTGTTGTGGCCGGAGTCCCCCCCCCCATGCCCCGCCCAAGAGAGGGTCGTCATCTGTGTTGCAGGTGCCAGCAGAGGTGAGAATACAGTCCTGGAATGCAGTCTACCCTAACTCTTCAGTGATGTCCCAGATTCCCTTCCGCACCCGCGGGAACACCACATGCCCTTTTTGGGAGTCTGCCTGGCACCAGGCTCTGACACTTGTATAACGTCACGTCCACACAATCCTCCAGAGTGGGGTTGCTTTAATTTCTATGTGACCGAACTGAAAGCCCGAGCTTCAGCCACCTGCCCAGAGCTGGAATCATAGCCCACCGCGTCGTCTCCGGGCCGTGCACGGAATCGTCCCTCCAGGCTCAGAAGCACCTGCTATCTAAGGCAGGATCCGTTTTCTAGCGCTACCTGCCGTACCTGGAGAGGCAAAGGCGAGCAGCTTGTGATTTGGAGGGTCCTGGGCGTTGTGTCGGGGGCTCGGGGCCGAAGCACACCTGGTTCGCCTCCCTGATGTCCCTGCAGTGAGAGCCCGGGATCCAGTGCCTGCGCTGCAGAAAAGGAAAATGATAGAGACCTGCCTGCAAGGCTGTTAAAAATGGAACCGGTGAAAAGCATGGGAACCTGGGAATCTGGCTGGGAGGCACTCTGCAAGTCTGGGTCATTTTTATCTTTTTTTTATTGGTATGTGTTTGCGATATATAATAATTACAATCATTTTGGGAAATTGCTACATACATATTCGCACCTTAATCATGTTTATCTCTGCAGACATTTTAAAACAGCAAGTCAGGTGTGTTGGCTCACTCCTGTAATTCTAGCACTGTGGGAGGCTGAGGCAGGAGGATCTCAAGTTTGAGCGTGGGCAATTAGTGAGATCCTGTTTCTTTATTAAAAATAAAGAAGGGCTGAACATGTAGCTCAGTGTGAAGGCCCTGGGTTCCATCCCTGGATACTGCTTGCCACGACTTGTACTATATCTTGCAGAAACAGACGAATAAATGTCCATTTCATAAATTAAAGTCGATGCTTCCCATGCCCCAGAAGCACTCTTCACAAACCGAAATATCAGGGCATCTTTGCCAGTCCCTGCTAGCCATTGTTGGTAGTGAGGCAACCAGAGACCCAGAAGCCATCTCCATTCCAGAGATGGAAGCAGCCCAAGGAAGAGGCTCCCTGTCAAAGTCTTCGCGCAGCCTGATCTACCGGAAACATGAGGATGACGCCGTGACCACACAGCCTGGGGAAAGTCTGGCCTGGAAAAGCAATGCAAGGTAGATGGTAGAGAATGCAGTGAAGCCCAGAGAGCAAAAGGATTTGCCCATAGACAGTGGTTCAGATAGTTTGTAGCAGAACTGGGGCTGGAGCCCTGACAGAACCTGGGGCTTTTGATTCCTGGAGCTGTCCCCACATTGTTGTGACAAAGGAACGGCCTCTTTAAATATTGAAAGTATCATACTGAAGTGTACGTATTTATCAGTGAGTCTCCTGTGCTACCGAATTAGTTCAGTCACCAGGACAGAGAGCGACCATTTTATTTATTTAATTTATTTCCTTCTTCTTCCCCCCTCCCCAAGTACTAGAGATTAAACTCAGGGCCTTCACACTGAGCTACATCCTCAGCCCTTATTTTATTTTTTATTTTGAGACAGTCTCACCAAGTTGCTGTCTTGCCCAGGATGGGATTGAACTTGGAATCCTTCTGTCCCGGAGTGCAGTGCAGGAATTACAGGCATGCATATCCTTGCCTGGGTCTCATTTCTTGAGAGTTCCCGCAGGGCCACTTCTATGTTCTTCCCACTTCCAACCGAGGAAACCGAGGTCCTACAGCTGCTCAGCTAGGGAACTCCTGGGTGTCCTGGCTCTGCAGCAGTTCTGCCACTGTAAGCCAGTTGATTGCAATGTCAGTCCATGGGTGAGCTTGGTTTGTCATCGGTCCCAAGAATATGGACACCTCTGGATAAAGGAGTGATAAGCAAATCGCATTTGCAGAACATCAGACAAAACACCTCTTACTCCTTTGTAATCCCACAAATCCTCACAAATATATCCTCCATCCTTTTACTAGCGAGGACACTGAGACTTGGGGAGATTAGATGTGTCCTGCACCCCACGGTTTATGATTTGGTAGACATAGGGGCTTGAACCCCAACCTGTGTGGCTCTGAAGCCAGTGTTCTTGCAGGAACACAAGAAGCTGTCTCTGGGCCCTCATAGTTGGGTCAGTGATGGGCTCTGATACCCACCAAGAGCCTGTGGATCTGTCTTCTACCATCCCATCTGAAATACTCCCCATTGCCCCTACACAACACTGGGAGCGGGTGGGTGGGTGGGGCGCCTGCTTGCCACCGGCACAGCAGGACAACCTCTTGTCTCACTCGTGTATATAATTACATTTTAACAGCAAGTCATAAACATTCTGCAGCTCGCTTTTCTTGACACTTCATTGTGCTCACCAAATGAAGCACCTAATAAAAGTGCCCAGCTATTAGAGGGAGAAGGACCCAGACACTTGGCCCAGCCTCTCCAGACCTGTTGATCCCAACTCTGATCTGCTCTAGCCCTGGGGCAAGTTTCTACGGTCTACTAAGCCCCACTCTGCTCATCTGTCCAGTGGGTGTGATGCCAGCCACACTGCCATGCCAGGATGTGCGTTGTGAGATTCTTCACACCTGCGAATGAGAGGTGACTGCTGCAGTACCTCTGGCAGATGCACTGCTGGCTCACCATTCCCCTTTGCAAGGCCCTTCTGACAGGAGCTCTGGGTGCAGCTCTGAAGACGGGTGGCCTGGTTTGAATCTTGGCTCTGCTGCCTTGTGCCATTGATCTGTGCTCTTAGGCAAATTGTTCACCCCTCTGAGCCTCACTTTCCTTGTCTGTAAAGCAAGGATAACAGCGCCATCTCTGCTTCCCATGGGACTTGAGTTGGGAAGCACCACGGAACTTCTCAGGACTACAGAAGTCCCTTTGATTTGGGCCATATCCATCCCCCCACCCGCAAAATGAATCAGGATTTCACTAGCATCTCATTCTTCTTTCCTCTTTATAGGTTAAGGGTTGGCCTGAGGTCCTGTCCTCATCAATGATATTTAAGGGAGAAACTCTGGGATTTTCATCTCAACAGTAGAAAGTCCCATAGCCTCTACTCTCTTCTTGCTCTTTGGGACTCTGTTTTTGAGGTCTGGGGCTGCAGCAGTCATCTTGAGATCAGAAGGGAAAATATTGCCCACTGTCATTCCAGGAAGGGCCTTCCTACCACTTTTCAGGAGATTTATGTTCTCCCAGTCCAAACAGAAGAAAAATCTGGGAAGAAACTTAGAAAAAAGAGTAATGTATCATAATTCTCTTTGGAGAACTAAGCTTAACAGTATGGAGAGGTTATTGGCTCCAAGGAATCCACTGACATCCAGTCAAATACAAGGGCAGGAAACACTGACACATGGCATTCAAGTTAAGGTTGACAATTCCTGAAAGAGGGGAAGCATGTGGGTGAGGACTAGCCACCCTGGAACCAGTCGGTCTTGCTTGCCAAGGTGCCCTGTTAGAAGTGCCTGCTTTTGGCCTGCCTCAGCCAGCAGTGAGTCATTCTTGCAAACAAAATGAATATTCATGAGATTATGCACATGCTGTACTGCATACAAATCTTATGACCCATCTCCTAAGAAATAAGCAAATTATCCTGAAGTTAGTATCTTCAATGTACGATTCTGTGTGGTGGTGTTGACCTTGCAAAGAGATCTAACTGTTACATTATCCCACCCAGTTGTAATACTTGCTGGCATTTTCCAGGAACTGCACATTTACTGTAGGCTACAGTTTGTGTGTGTGTGTGTGTGTGTGTGTGTGTGTGTGTGTGTGTATGGTGCAGAAGAAATAGTGTCACCATTAAAACAGTGGATGAGCTTTGAAAACATTATGCTAAGTAAAATGGGCCAAACCCAAAGGATAGATATTGCGAGATTCCACTTGCATGAAGTCCCTAGAATAGGCAAATTCATGGAAACAGCAAGTGAAATGGTGGGTGATCAGGCTGGAGAGGGGAGAGAGCAGGGACAGTGAGTGTTTATTGGAAACAAAGCTTCAGTTCTGCAAGATGAAAATAATTCTGGAGGGGGACAGTGGTGATTGCACAGTGATGTGAATGCACTAAATATGTTTAGTGCCACTGAACTGTTCACTGAAAAATGATTGAGTTGGGAGGCTGAGACAGAAGGATCAAAAGTTTAAGTCCTGCCTGAGAAACTTTTTGAGACTCCATCTCAAAATAAAAAATGATGGGGATATAGCTCCAATACCATTAAAAATAAAAATAATTTAAAAATATTAAGATGAACTGGTTGTGCCTGCCTGGTATTTGCGAGGTCCCGAGTTCAATCCCTGGTACCAAAAAAAGATAAACTGGTTGTGGTGGCACATGCCTGTAATCCTAGCTGCTCTGGAGGCCGAGGCAGGATTGTGAGTTTGAGGCAA